AAATTTTGCAATAATCTTACGCCACCCTTGCACAAAACGACGATAATTTTTCTAATTTCATAGACAAGAGAAGACTGTACTTTTTCTACATAACCCCCCCCTGAATTTAAAGCTGGATCCGCCCCTGTCCAAATGTTCATAAATACATATAGAAATGTCTTTGGGGCTTTGAAGCCGTGGTCCATGGGAATTTGTTCCTGACGTTTCGTCCACAACTGCGGTGGACATTATCAAAGGCGATTCCAACTAAGAATGGTTCAACTGCTGGATCCAGTAGGCCACCTTCGGGATTTAGACCATGGTGGAGGAAGGTTTTCCCTGATGTTTCGCCAGCACAAGTGGCTGACATCTTCAGAGGTGGGTTGCTCAACGCAGCAATCACCTCTGAAGATGCCAAGCCATTCGTGCTTGGAACTTGCAACTGGAAGCTTGCAAGAACGTTAGGAAGACATTTTTTCACCATCGTCTAAAAGCTTGAAAAACTTACCAGTTGGGGCACGACACTGGTTTGGACGCAAAAAATCTCAATCCCAAAATCAGAGATCTCAGATTCGCTTCAGTATAAACTGATTTTTTTAGCCGCAAAGGTATCAACTTGGCACGTAGCAACGCGCTGGCCATCTTGCATCTCTCTCGGGCTTTTATGGGTTTGAGGGAGACTTACGATGCCAACTGCGTTCTTGAATGGAAAATTCAATTTCGCTTGACTCATTCGAATGAGAATGTGTTAATCATTTCATTTAGTTTGATCTGTCTTTTAGCCAACCAACTGCCCGTTCTTTCGAGTTATTTTACTTAATCACAAATAGATGCTCAAGAGCGAACAACTCAGCTAATCCATTCTAGAAGGTATGAAAGACATGGAAATTTGAATTTATTGCCTCAGTTTTAGTCGGAAAGCATGGGAGATCACTTCGCCCACTGCCTCATCGCCTTTGATAATGTCCACCGCAGTTGTGGACGAAACGTCAGGAATAAATTCCCATGGACCACTGCTTCAAAGCCCGAAAAACATTTCTAAATGTGATTTGACCGGCCGTGAAAGCCTTCATAGTCTGCTCATAAATATATCGTTTTTATGTAGGGTGACAAATCTTATTTAAAAGATCACTGGTGCCAGTTTGATGCCAGCATGGTGTTCTTTCTCTGGCTGTCCATCATTCTGCAAATATTCGAAATCATGGGAATCGTTCCGGCTTATTCGTACATTTCGATAATTCGTGCGCCCCGGCCCTTGATTGTAATCAGGTTTCTGCGGGTGTTTCTCAAGTTTTCCATGCCGAAGTCCAGGATTAATCAAATTTTCAAGTAATTGGTTCGAATAGAAGATGCTTGAACGGTGTATATAAGAAGCATGTGACTTTAGGCGATCGAGTCAACAAATCTACAACGTAACGCTGTTCTTCCTGTTCTTCATGTCGCTCTACGGTTTGCTGGGGGTGCAGTTCTTTGGCGAGCTGAAAAATCATTGCGTTACCAACACCACAAAGGAACCCAAGTAGGTTTAATTTGATAAAACTGTCCATGTTTGGTATTTGACTGTTTCGTGCGTAGCATTAAATTCAATAGGTATATATTTTTTCAGGGACGTCACCATAAACAATTTAGCCATACCAGATACCTTTTGCTCGTTGGACCCTACATCAGGCTACCAGTGCCCCCAGGGCATGAAGTGCATGAAGATGGAAGGAATTTCGCGATACATTATTGGCTTTAATGGATTCGACGAATTTGGTAACATCTAATCCTGGCTTCCTCCTCAGAAGATGTAATAAATGAAATGGTGCAACGGTTTCAGTTACCAGCTTCTTCACGGTTTATCAAGCAGCGTCTCAAGAGGGATGGGTGTTCATCATGTACAGGGCGATCGATTCTCTGCCCCCTTGGATGGCTGTTTCCTACTTCAGCACCTTAATCTTCTTCCTAGCTTGGCTGGTGAAGAACGTCTTCATTGCCGTCATCACCGAGACTTTTAACGAAATCAGGGTTCAGTTCCAGCAAATGTGGGGCATTCGGGGACACATCAGCAACAGCTCTGCATCTCAGGTCTGCAATCGTTAATTATTCTGATAGTACATAAACGATCCATTCCGAATAGATTCTCAATGGAGACGATCGCGGTTGGAAACTGGTGACTTTGGACGACAACAAGCATGGGGGAGTGGCTCCGGATTTTTGCCAGAAAATACTCCAGAGTCCGTGTTTTCGCAGCCTAGTCATGGCTGTGATCTTGGCCAACGCCGTTGTAACAGCATCGATGAGATTCCAACACGACAGAAGGCCCAGGCAGGTGTTTTATGAAAAGTACTACTTTTCCGAGTTGGGCTTTACGATACTGCTTAACTTGGAGGTGACTTTCAAAGTGTGGTGCCTGGGCTGGCGGGGATATTGGAAGCATTCTATCCACAAATTCGAAATGTTATGCGCCATCGGAACGACCATCCACATAATTCCAGGTAAAAACCTGAATAACGAGCGAAAACGGCCACCGCTAAGTCGATTATTTATCTACCTCCAGGGTTTTACATGACCGGGTTCACCTTCTTTCAAGTCCTTCGGGTGGTTCGGCTAATTAAAGCGTCACCCCTATTGGAGGACTTCGTATACAAGATTTTCGGGCCGGGCAAAAAGCTGGGCAGTCTAATCATTTTCACCATGTGCTTGCTGATTATTTCATCCAGTGTGTCGATGCAACTGTTCTGCTTTTTGGATTTTACCAAATTTGAAACGTTTTCTGAGGCATTCATGTCCATGTTCCAGATCCTCACCCAGGAAGCCTGGGTGGAAGTGATGGACGAGACAATGTTCCGCACACCATCTATGATAGCTCCATTAGTGGCGTTTTATTTCATCATGTATCACCTGTTTGTTACTCTGGTGGGTGCCGCATCAAAGCGACCAGCATCATCATCCAAAAAAGGTGTTTTGGTTGTAGATTGTGCTCAGCTTGTTCGTAGCGGTTATCTTAGACAACCTGGAACTGGATGAAGACATAAAAAAACTCAAACAGTTGAAATACCGAGAGCAAAGCGCCGAAATCAAGGAGACTCTTCCATTTCGCCTCCGGATATTCGAAAAGTTCCCCGACAGTCCGCTGATGGTCACCTTGCATAAAGTGCCTTCTGATTTCAACCTGCCCAAGGCTAGTTTTAGCATACAAGTTAGCAACTTTTCGGCGAACAATTGGGCAACTTATTTAGGTGAGAGAAAGCTTCATGAGGCAGTTCGTGTATGAGACTGAAGATGAGGAAAACTCCGAAAGTGGAATCAAGCGCTTGACGGCCGAGGAAATGTTCGACTCAAAAATAGTTTACAGAAAGCAGCGTCCTTTGAACATCATGAACAAACTGCCCAAAGTGAGGAGCGTTAATATCAAGCTGAAGAAAACTACCGTCTCTCATATTATCAGGTAACATTTTCGAAATGCCAGTTTTAATTTGCCGATAGAGAGACAGAAGAAGCGATGTAAAATGTTGTCTGCTAGCACAATTCGAAATGAATGAGTTTTCAGCGATTCCAACAATCAGCGCCTCATGCTGGGTGACTCGTCTATGATTCCAGTGCCAGGCAGCAAAGCACCGCTCAAACCCCAAGGAACCATAAATAGTGTGAAACAGTTACGTATTGACCACAAGAAGTGAGTGAACATGAATTGATCTAATTGGCTAAAAAAATTAGTGAGTCCAAAATAGTAAGATTGGCATGCAACGTTATGTCCTAACTGTTCGAACAGCTCACAGGACAGCGAAGCGAATGGAATTTTGTAGTCGTTTATTTTTTTAGCCCACCTGTGGAAATATTTGCAATTTTGCTTACAGGTTCGGGTCCAGATCAATCAGGATCGATAAAGTCAGGATCGATAAAACTGAAGCAAACCTACGAACATATATACATATAAATAATCTTTATTTCCTATAGAAAAAGGCTATCGACCCAATCGGTCTTTCTGCCCTTGAGTAGTACATATATGTCTTAGCCTAGCTTATTCTAAAATTAAGTCCTATTCCTAACACTGGTATAATTCAATCAGTGATAAAAGAAAAAAGAAAAAAATTTCCCGGCCCACAAACAAACAGGTCTTAGTCGTTAGTTCAGTTGCGCTTGTAGGTGTTCTAGTAAAGTATCTGTTGGGGTACGAAAACGGGAATGTTCTGTCCGTCTTGTTAGGCAAAGGGGATTCAGTATGGTCCAGTTGTGAGGGTTGTTTGTCCATTTTGTCTGTAAGTGTATTAGTCTTTCCGAAATTTTGGTCATGTTTGTGCGTTCGTATAGTAGTTGGTTGGAAGGGTTGTGCAGGGGCTTTTGGGGGTGTCTTATTCGTGTTATTAGTCTTAGTGCAATTTGTTCAGTTGTTTGTACGTATCGTTTTGTCCTTTCTGTTCCGTTGGCCATGAGTATATGTCCGTAGTCCAAGAGGGGCCTGCAGATCGCTTTGTATATTTTTGTCGCGGCATTGGTACTAATTCTCTTTTCTGACCACAAGAAGTGAGTGAACATATAATCTAATTGGCTAAAAAAATTAGTGAGTCCAAAATAGTAAGATTGGCATTCAACGTTTTGTCCTAACTGTTCGAGCAGCTCACAGGACAGCGAAGCGAATGGAATTTTGCAGTGGTTTATTTTCTTAGTCCACCTGTGGAAATATTTGCAATTTTGCTTACAGGTTCGGGTCCAGATCAATCAGACGCTCAGTCAGGTCAGGATCGATAAAACTGAAGCAAACCTACGAACATTTGATGGAGAATGGAGATATTGGTGTGAATCGGGTCACTTCAGCTAGAGCCAGGCCTCACGATTTGGATATTAAGCTCTTACAGGCCAAGAGACAACAAGCGGAAATGAGAAGGTATATTTTGATGTTTGATGCAGCATTTAAGTTGGTTTGGTTCATTGTGCTGATTCCAATAGGAACCAGCGGGAGGAGGATTTGAGAGAGAACCACCCATTTTTTGATACGCCCCTCTTTGCAGTTCCTAGGGAGAGCAAGTTTAGGAAGTTTTGCCAACTGATCGTTTATGCGCGATATGATGCCAGGCTGAAGGATCCCTTGACCGGAAAGGAGCGAAAAGTGCAATACAAAACACTGCAGTGAGTATGCAGAGAGTCTCCAACGTTTCAGTTGAGTATAATTTTCTTCGCTTACTGCTCAGCAACTTCTTGGGTCTGGTTACCTACCTAGACTGGGTAATGATAGCGATGACTACCCTCTCCTGCTTATCCATGATGTTTGAGACTCCTCATTATCGCGTCATGGAGAACCCCAGCCTCCAAGTTGCCGAATACGGATTTGTGATATTTATGAGCATGGAACTGGCATTAAAAATCCTAGCTGATGGTCTATTTTTTACGCCCAAAGCCTACGTAAAGGACGTTGCTGCGCTTCTGGACGTTTTCATTTACCTTGTAAGTGCGATTTGAGTAGTGCTAAGCAAACACATATTAGTTATGCTCATGCAGGTGAGCTTAACGTTTTTGTGCTGGATGCCTAAACACGTGCCTCCTAATTCAGGAGCGCAGCTTTTGATGATATTGCGCTGCTTACGTCCTTTGCGAATATTCACTTTGGTGCCTCACATGAGCAAAGTCGTCAACGAATTGTGCAGGGGATTCAAAGAAATTTTGCTGGTTTCCACATTACTCATCTTGCTGATATTCATTTTTGCCAGCTACGGCGTCCAGCTCTACGGTACGTATGTATACAATATTTCCTATATATGTAGAAAATAGATGATGTACCTACCTCAACGCTATATTGAGAAAGGACTTAATTTTGCAGGGGGAAGATTGGCACGTTGCAACGATTCCAATGTCACTAGCAGGGAAAACTGCAAGGGTACTTTCCTGCGAAGAGTGTTTGTCACTAAAATGAAAGTTCAACCGGGAGAGAACGAAACTTATCCGCAATTAGTAGTTCCACGTGTGTGGTAAGAGCTCGATTTTAAAATCTACGGTCGATATTTGCTTGTAAAACTTTAGGGCCAATCCCAGAAGATTCAATTTCGATAATATTGGCGATGCCATGTTGACCCTGTTCGAAGTGCTCTCGTTCAAAGGGTGGCTGGATGTGAGAGATATTTTAATAAAATCTCTTGGACCCGTAAGTCAGTCACACATTTTACTTCGAGGTTCAAACTGACTGTACCTATAGAGAAACACATCAAACCTGCCATTTTTCACTGTTTTCAGGTGCACGCGATTTATATCCACATCTACATCTTTCTCGGATGTATGATCGGACTGACGCTATTCGTCGGCGTGGTCATTGCTAACTACTCAGAAAATAAAGGAACTGCTCTGCTTACTGTGGATCAGAGGCGATGGTGCGACTTGAAGAAACGTCTGAAAATCGCCCAACCATTACATCTGCCACCGAGGCCCGATGGGAAAAAGTTCAGAGCTTTTATCTACGACATCACGCAGAACTTGAAGTTCAAGCGAAGCATTGCCATTCTGGTGTTAATCAATTCGGCTCTCTTAAGTGTCACGGTGGGCATGAAGCGCTTTTGAGCCAACAAATTCGCTTTATCACATCACATTGTTGATTTCCAGTGGGAAAAAAACGACTCAACCACTGATACCTTGGTGACCATTTCGATCATTTGCACTCTGATGTTTCTGGTGGAAGTTATTATGAAAAATATCGCTTTTACCCCTAGGGGATATCTGCAATCTCGCCGAAACCGATACGATTTGTTTGTCACTGTGGTTGGAGTGATTTGGATGTTTTTTCACATTATGTTTAAGGTAAAACGTTTTTAGATCCGATTGTTGAAAATCCTGCCAATTTTTTTTAGAACGACTTGACTTATTTTATTGGATTCATGGTGGTAGTGTTGCGGTTTTTTACCATCACCGGCAAACATGCCACCCTTAAAATGCTGATGTTAACTGTGGGAGTTTCGGTGTGCAAAAGCTTTTTCATTATTTTTGGCATGTTCCTGCTGGTGTTTTTCTACGCTTTGGCCGGAACGATTCTTTTCGGAACAGTCAAATATGGAGAGGGAATCGGCAGGTATGTACCTACCTATCGATACGATGCTGTTGATTGAATCAACGTGAATGGCTGTTTAGAAGGGCCAATTTTCAATCTCCTGTTACCGGAGTGGCGATGCTTTTTCGCATCGTCACAGGCGAAGACTGGAATAAGATAATGCATGACTGCATGATCCAACCGCCTCATTGTACTCGCGCAGCCAACTACTGGGAAACTGATTGTGGCAACTTCATGGGTTCGCTGATTTACTTTTGCACCTTTTACGTTATTATTACCTACATAGTTTTAAACTTATTAGTGGGTAAGTTTCGTCTGTCGTGGAGTGGGTGTGCGATCGACACTTGATCATCTTGCAGCTATTATAATGGAGAACTTTTCGCTGTTCTACTCCAACGAAGAAGACGCGCTGCTCTCCTATGCAGACATTCGAAACTTTCAAAATACATGGAACATTGTGGATATACATCAGCGAGGCGTAATTCCAGTTAAACGGGTAACGACGCCAACAGCACAGCACGCAATATGCGTTCACCCGATTCTTGCAGGTCAAATTCATCCTCAGACTGTTGAAAGGCCGACTAGAGGTGGACCCACAAAAAGACCGAGTCCTCTTTAAACACATGTGCTACGAATTGGACAGATTGCATAATGGCGAGGATGTGACTTTCCATGATGTGATCAAGTAAGCAGATTCCCTTTTCCTAATTAGACAAACACAGTTGGAGTTCTGCACTTTTCTCAACTGTGCAGCATGCTGTCATACCGCAGCGTGGACATAAGAAAAGCCCTACAGTTAGAGGAGCTGCTGGCACGGGAGGAATTTGAGTATGCCATCGAAGAGGAAGTGGCCAAGCAAACCATTAGAACCTGGCTAGAAGGTTGCTTAAAAAAAATTAGATCAACAAGTGTAAGTACGCAGTGTTTGAAAAAGATGAAAGAACTAATCATTTTATTTGGGGCAGAAACAACAAAACAGTCTTATAGCGGGCTTAAGAGCCACAAACGAAACGATTCCAGCTCTAGAACAACCGGAAGAAAACAAAGTCACTCGACCAGTTGCAGAAACGGACAATGATCAGGAGTTGGAGTTCAAAGAGAACGAACCACCAGCAGTTAGGAAGCCGAAACTGGTCAGCTTACCTAGATCGGACAGTATTGGCAGCAGTTCAGGCAAGTGCGGGCATGAAACTTTTGCCCAGTCAATTTTAATTTGATGATTTTGTCCAGGACGCAAATATTTGGCTCCAACTCTATCCGATCCCTCGGCGCGACAGGAGAGAGAAAAGGTGCAACAATCAAAGAAGAAAAATAACACTGTCCGACCGAACCCACCAGTGAATAAGAACCTTGCCCATTTGAATGACAGTGAGCAGAATAAAATGGCCAGAGAGGTGAGACTCGACAGGAATAAACGACATTTTCTTTCTCGGATTTTGTAGGTGCAGAACAACAAAACTTCTTTACCAAAACCGACCACAGCAATGCAGGAAATTAAGGACTGGTGGAATGAGCAGCTGGCTTACGAGTCTTCAAGCGATGAAGATTAAATAATCGCATTAGAGGCAGCCGTTTAATTTGGTCGATTGAGAGCTTGAGTTTGAAACTTGCAGTTACTTGTCTAGTTTACATATTCAGGTTTACATACCGATCAACCGAATTTTCTATTGCAGCTGCACGATTGTCCGCTGCGAGTAATAAACCTTCAAATATATTGGGTTTTTATGGTGTTTTTGTTTAAAAGTATCCATAATCAAGTTGCTATTTCGTTTATTTGAAAATAAATCGACATCACTCATAGTAATCGAGAATTGGCAGGTCAAAGCTCACCTGCTTACATAAGTGAAGTTATATTTAATGCCTTTACAGGGCAGAACACAGGTAAACATCAATGAAATTCCAGTAACGTATCAGTCTTGAGACTTAATTGTAGTAACAATAAACCTGAGGCTACCGCTTATGTTATTTATTGTATACACTAATAATTGCAAGGGTCAATGAGTACGTTTACTCACATGCACGCCTGTATTCACCTCGCCACATCAACGTAATGTTCGTTCAGTATTAATACTATAGTATTAATAACATAATTTTACAAACATTCACATCAAAATATACATACCTATAGTTTTGGTATTTATTCTCCCTTGTTCCGCGCTTATTTTATTTCGGTAAAACCCATTATAATTGGATAATAATGGTTAATTATTAGCCCACGTGTTGCTGTTTCTTTATTATCGGCGAATTGTAACGCGAAGTTAAGGAGTCTGTCGCATTAGAAACTAATGCAATAACTACTGCATATTCAATGGACAAAAGCAAATATCAAAAGAACTTTCGAGGCCATTCCTTGAAACTAACTCTACCGGTCTACCGAACGACGGCCTAAAAACCCGAAAAACCCATTAGTTTCAAATTTCTAAATTCTTCTGAATTTCTTCTTGACGTTTCGCAAGCACGAGTGGCCTGCATCTTCAGAAGTGGTTTGCTTGAACGCTTACACTGTTCTCATCAGAACCTGTTCAGTTCTTCCGCAGAACCTAACTACGGCCTAAAAACCCGAAAAACCCATTAGTGTCAAATTTCTAAATTTTTCTGAATTTGTTCGCCGAACAACTGAACGGGTTCTGATGAGAACAGTGTAAGCGTTCAAGCAAACCACTTCTGAAGATGCAAGTCACTCGTGCTTGCGAAACGTCAAGAAGAAATTCTAGCGAACTACGGCCTAAAAACCCGAAAAACCCATTAGTTTCAAATTTCTAAATAAGTTTTCTGAATTTCTTCGCGGAAGAACTGAACGGGTTCTGATGAGAACAGTGTAAGCGTTCAAGCAAACCACTTCTGAAGATGCAAGCCACTC